TCCTGGGATGGGGTTGATTTATTGCAGGAGAATCATAGGAGGTTCACAGAATATTCTGAGTTGGAAGAGACCCACAAAGATCATTGAATCCAACTCCTGTTGGTTACTCCCGTAGTTACAATGCAAGGCTTGAATAGAAATGACAGCGATAAGTGCTCTTCTTTTATAACTGCACTTGTCAATATCTCTTAAACTTTTCATTTTCTTTTGGTTGAGTGGGAAAAACTGGTGGGGTTTTTTTTGTTTGGTTTTTTTTGTTTTGTTTTGTTTTGTTTTTTTTGTCTTTTAATGCAACTGTGTCCTGTTGTTTGGGGACTTTACCTGGTTTTACCTTATTAATAGTAATAAGTTATTACTATTATCTTAGTGAATAAACTGACTAGTGAAAAGGATGATTTCATTTGGATCCCTTCACCTCTTTTTGCAATTCGAATGTGACCCTTTGGAACGTGCTGCTGGATGACATTTACCCAACCAGGATTGCAGGTCCCTCCACAGTGGGCCTGCTGCATTCCTGTTTGAGAGCATCTGTGGATTGCTGAGTCAAAACCATGTCCCTGACATGCCAGATCCCTGTCTGCCTGTGGAGGTGGCTGGAGACAGGAGTTGGGAAATGTCTTGTGTCACATGTGTTCATTATCCAGTAACTCCTGCACTGAGGGATGGAGTGGTTGAGCTTTCTGTCCCAGGGCTGGAGGTTGAGGTAAGAGTTAGCAAAATCATGAGCTCCCAAAATGCTTCTAGATGTAAAGTTTAGTGAATTAGACAGTAGGAAATACACTGGATGTACTTGTTCTTATTTGAAAAAAACCCAACTGTATAAAGTAGTAAGTCTGGTTTAAATGCATACAATCAAACCTGAGGTGAACTGAAATTTGGCTCTTCACTTTCCCCCATCCCTTCACATTGTAGATGTTTCAGGGGGTCACCAGAAAACCCCAAGTAGCTTTAGACAAAGGAGAGATTCAGAAATATCTTTGACTTTTATGGACCTTTCCATTAAAATGCTTAGAGCTGTAAATGTATAAATAAGAAAATAATCTATCTTTACAAAAAGTGCTGCTATTCCGCACTCATAAAATAGTCTTTTAAGTTATTGTTTCTGCTTGTATCAATAAATCCATACAAAATGCTTAAAGGTCAAGCATTGCCAGAAAAAAATGTCTTTTCAGCTTGTTAATTAGGAGTTTATAAGAATGTGCACAAACTTGCTCTTTGAATAAAATGGAAAAGAAGGAGAAAAGAAAAAGGTCCTCATGGATAAAAACAATAGTGTGGAATTAGTGAGTGGCAAGTCTTTGCTCCATCAGGCTCACCATGGCCTGGGCAGTCGTGGCATGAAAACAGGTGGCTCTGCTAACAAGAGGAGCAAGAGTTTATTTTTCTGTTTGTTGGGGAGGTATCTTGATTAGTCACCTCCTGAAGCCCACAGGCTTGATCTGAGGGCCCAGCTTGAGCTGATGTGTGACGGGGAGTGTGAGCAGGATTTGACATGTCATAGCTTGAGCCATGGGAAATTTGTCCAGTTCTCACTGTGTGGCCAAGGGCATCAGATAAAGACACTTATATTTTTATTTCCCAGGCAAGTGGTTTTATTTTCTCGTTTATGTACAGCTTGAACAAGAACAAAACAGTGTAAATTGTACCCAGAGACAAATTGCCCAACCACCCATTCTGGCACCTGCACATCCTTCATTGCAGAGAGCACAACTGGGATTCCCTGTTTCATACTTCACTTCTTTCACCCATCATCATGGAGACATCCTGGTCTGCCCAAAAATTAGGCCATTTGGGTGGAGATCTCCATGCATGGATGAGATGAAGTTAATCAGTCACATGGATTAGACACTGGAATTTCCACCTGCACAACAGTCTAGCCCTGACCATTATCATTTTACCTCTAAATGTAGACTTTTTTAATCACTAAAAGGGAGACAATAATACTGACCTAGGTGAAGCACCCAGATGTAAGAGATGAAATGTGTTACAGGAAAAGTACGGAGGTCAGTGAATTCTTGAATTGCTTGAGCTATTTATTGCCCAAGCTGGGAAATAGTAACAAAACAATGTAAATAGTGAAAAATAAAAGAGATTCTTACATATCTCTCTGTCTGAACATATTGTAGTGCTAATATTAACATGAGATTGAAGTTCTTATTTTTTCCGTGGCCATATGATTTCTATACTGAGATTGTTTCCTTGAATATTCAGTAACAGATCCTTACTATAAAATAATTTGTAAACAGAAAACTGCATTTTTGTCACTAAAAATTTCATAACTTAAGAGTGCCATTATTTGGTTTTGTACTTTTGTGTTCGCTGCAGAACTACTTCAGGAAAATAAATCTGATTAACTTTTTGAAAGTGCAGGTGACAGAAATGATGGTATTTCATTTATGTGCTACCCACAGATGATTCCTCCTGTCTTTGCCTTCAAGTGAAGCTGAGGAAACAGTTCACAGTAGTTTTGTTGTGTTTCTTGTTTGTTGTCTCATTTCTTTTGTCTCAATCATTCACTGTTTTGAAACTTAACCATAATTGGCCCAGCAGTGCACCCTGGGGCTGACATGACCTCCTTCCTCACAGGACAGAGAGTCATTCTGTTCTAGATGCTTGGTTGGTTTTTTATTCCCTGGAGATATTTAAACTAATAGAAGAGAACAGATTTTTTGCTTAGACATGGAGTTTTTTGTGCATCTTAACAACTGATAACTCCATCTTACTTAACATTTCAGTAATTTGACTCTTATCTTTATAATCAGTTCCCAATTTCATTCAGTGTCAGCACTTTGTATTTTAATGCCATCACAGAATCATTAAGGTTGGAAAAGATGTCCAAGATCAAGTCCAACCTTGGACCAAACACCACCATGCCAACCACCATGTATTTTGTTGTCCAGTTTGGAAATCTTTGCAAATCCTTGTGGATCTGTAGGAATAGGAATATTAGAATGTGTGTTTGCAAGGTCAGAGAGCAGCCTTTAAAGCAGAACTTCCCAGATGGCAGAACTTTTTGTTTTTAACTTTCTGTAGGGGGTATCTGTGCAGACCAGGAGAAGTAGTGGTGCCCCTGGTATTTCCAAGTAGACCTTGGACTTCACTGTGTGGTGAAAGAAATCTCCTTTGGGAAGGAAAATATAGATCCTACTTGTGATAAGCTTTCTGTAGCATGAGTTGGAAAGTTCACTTTGGTATTTACCCTAAAAAAATCTGAATCAGGGCTGAATTGATTACAGTTCATGTTAATACTAAGCAGGAAGCTGTGATAAGTCTAAATAATGCCCATAGCAGCAGGTGGCAGCTCAGTTTCTCCTTCTCCCAGACTGCAGTAGTTCATCATGTTATTCTTGACAATGTGTGAGGTTGGGATAGGGTAGAGAGAGCAATAAAGTTGTTCAGTCAGATCCTTCCCCTTGATTTTAGTCCATGTATCACCCTGTAAGGAAATTGTGGCAGAAATACCCCGTTCTGTTCCTCACCCCGCTGCCAGATCCGTAATTTCTAAAGGAAGGTGTAACTTCCTTGTTTTATCATCCATGGATGGAAATGCTGCTCTCCCTGCCCTCTTTCCCTCTTCTCTTGGCTTGAGACAGAATTTTAATGGAGTATGTTTTTCCATGGATAATATAGGGTACTGGTAATCCATGAGTACTTGAAAAAAATTGTCGTGCATGTTTATAACTGTTCAGCTCTCCTTGTTGTTTTAATCAGGCAAATCTTCTTCAAATGTTAATCTTTGCTGAATATGCAACATCACACCCCCAAATGTCTCTGACAGGAGTAGCAGAGGTAAAAACATAAATGCTGTAGGAGAAGTTTATTAAGAATATTCTGCCTGAATGCACTTGTTATTTCTTATCAAACACTGGAGACAGAATGAAATAGACTGTTTTGCCACTCTGTGGGTGAGGTCTGAGGAGAACATATCAGCATGGATATGACACAGTTTCACTTTCCTTGAGCTGATTATGTTATAGTTTCTTTTCTACTGACAAATTTCATTACCAGATTGGGGTAATAATAGCATATTTTATCTTGCTGGCTGTGATCCAAACTCTTGGTTTAGAGCAGAGTTAAATTTAGAGAAATTCAGCTGAATCTATATTTTTCTCCATATTAGCTATTTCTAACAGCCTGGTGAGATTTTCTGTAGGGTGACTAAGTGTCTCTTGCTGTTACAATGACAGTCATATGCTTGCTTATATTGCTGTGTCGTCCCAACAGCGATAACCAAATGCTAGATAAAAGTTACACAACCTTGCCTTAACAATATTGGCCAGTTAACCAAAGTATGAACTTTTGGTTAGAAGCTGTGGCTTCCCCATCCCTGGGAATGTCCAGGGCTATATTGGATGGGGTTTGGAGCAACCTGGTCTGGTGGAAAGTGCCCCTGCCCATGCTGGGGGATGAAACTGGGTGATCTTTAAGGTCTCTTCCAATCCAAGCCATCCCATGATTCTATGAATTGAAATCAGGGATGAAAGACATTGAATGGGAAAAATTACCTGTCTTCTTTACATATATGGCCCAATCATAAATTTATAAGCTACCTACTTATTCCATCCTATCTTAAATAAGCTTTGAATAAATTTGGTATGCAACTAAGAAAAGGGTGAGTAACAAAAATAATCATGGACAGTAATAAATGCTGTGTTGGCCCAAATGGGTGTCAGCTGAATGTTGTGTGGCAGTGTGCTGTAGTAGATTTATAGGCAGCTTTCCATTTTAATAATTTAAAAATTTAGTATTTACTATTTCCTGAGGCACAGCAAATATCTCTTTGTGACCCTGGCTACCATAAGATGCATCATTGTACCAATACACGTCACTGTGGTGCATTTCAGATCTTTTTTGAAAACAGTCTGGTGCCTAGAGAGCCTTCAGCCAGGGCAGCTGGGAAGAGAAAAAGAGCTGGAAGGGAACTGCTGGCTCAGAGAGATTCTGTCTGGGAAAGCTTTTCAATTGTTTTAAGCTGTGTTCAAATGTTTTTCTTCCAACAGACTTTGGGAACTATCACTGCAGTGCCCATTAAGGTTCCTCAGGTCAGCTCCTTGCAGAGGTTGGCAGGACAAGGACCAGCAGTGCTACCTCAGGTACAAAATACACTTTCAAAGAGGGGGTTGTGTCATTTTGTACATATTCTCTGCTTCTGTCTAGTGACCAGGCCTGGGTGCATCAGCACACTGATTTTGCAGAGTTATGTTTTTCTTCTCAGTCCATGGAAAAAATGATTCTTCTGGGAGTGTACTGATACCACAATTAAAAGCTATAAAATGTAATGTAGATTCATTGTGGAAGAGCAAAATACATATGGCGGAATGTAAATTTATGCTTTAAAGATGAATCACAAATCAAAGGAGTGAAAATCTGCAATTCTGTAATTAAAGAACTGGTAGAAGTGTTACCCTTCCTGTTCAAGATTTAACCCCATGTTCTGTTTCACTGACTTATTTGCCTTGTCTATCCCAGTGCAAAGTTTTGGCCCAGCTAACCCAGGTGCCAGACTGAGGAAAGATTCTCTGAGTAAGAGTGAAAGAGAGTTGCACTCACTGTTTTTTAAAATGTTTCAAACTGTCTTCTTTTCTGAACACCAATCACTGTTTCTATAACTATGCACTTTATTCCCCATTTCAATCCTCTTTCTCAAAATTTTTGGATGTAATTTTCAACAGGTGTTTTGCTGCAATTCTATGGTTTGCTCTTCACATTAATGATTATTAAATATAAATATATTTCTCCTACTGTGGCTCTTAGAGCTCTATTTCTCATATATGAAAACTAGATAAGTGCTAAAGTTGATGATATATAATCTTCCTCTTGTTCCTTTTTTTTTTTTTTTTTTTTTTTTTTTAAGGGGGAAAATTAAAAAGAATCTAGTATAAGATCTGTGAGCTAAATTTACTTGAAGGAAGAAGAATTTCCAAGACAAAGTTCTTAAATTCTCTTTAAATTACATTTTGTGGAAGGCAGTGTTGTGAACATAAAAGTGAGTTTTCTTATCAAGTTCAAGACTTTGCTTTTCAGTTGTTCTTACAACATAATAACATTTTGATTTCTGCCATTTTGGGGTGTCAAAGATGAGCAGATTGCTCCTGAAAATAGATGAGGTTCAAGAGCAGCTGAAAGACCTGTAACAGGACCTAAATTGTCATTTAGGTTGTGTTTCAGCAATAGTGATGGCATTGCAAGTGCTGCACTTAGAGAAGTACCAATGCCTTATGCTTTAGTTAGATAGAAAAATTTCATTCAGTGCTAGATTCCATTTTGAAGAATTGAAAAAGGTGGAGGAAGCTGATTTCCTCAGCTTTCAGAGAAGAACACATCCTTTCTGTCTTGCTGTTTAGGTCATGGCAATATTTTTGTTTGTATTTCACTTTGTTTCACTCCCTTCATGGAACAGCTTCAATTTCAGACCTGTTTATGCAATCATACTTAATACTAATCAACTACCAGTGCTTTCTTGGTTGCCCTGAGCCATAGCTCACTAACTTTTCTATTTAGTGAATATTTCATATAGATAGAATGGGCAATAAATACCTAGCAATCTCATTTCTGAAAAAAAACTAGAAATTAAGTAGGCAGCTGTATGTAAGACCATGTTAGGGGTATGTCTTATGCCCTGAGTTTTTTCTGGCTTTTTCACAGGCCTGCAATGGGCCAGCTTCTTCAGCAACAGTCTGTCCTATTTACATGCCAGTCCTCTTTTATGCTGCTTCATGGTCCATATGTTCCTCTCCCCCTCCAAACTCACAGAGAAGTTTAAAATTTCTATACAGATTCCTAGTGGGGAACTCCCTCCATCCTTAAACATCCCTCCTTTGTGCTCAATGTCTTCAGAGATACTAGGTTTTCATCTACAAGTGGAACATTTGCCTTCTAATTAAACAGACAGATGTCTTGAAAATAGACTTAATATAGCCGAATGGTGCAAAGCTGTCATTCCCAGGGAAAGCTGGATGCAGGTGACCTGGGAAGCCACTGTAAGTCTGCAGCACTGTGTCACTGTGAAGGCTGTCCTTTGTCAGAGCTGTAGGGTGTGTGCATAGTCACTGCTCTGGTCCAGGAAAACTAGAAACTTCAGATGGAAATATAAAAATTCCAGGAAGCAAGGCCATGTGATACCACACAGGTGTTATGGTAAAAAACATCTCATTCTTCTTCCTTGTAGTGTTGTGAAAACAAGCACCTAATAAAAAATTAGTTTGGAAATTAAGAGGTGTATATTATCTTCCAGTAGGAGCTGGAAATCATGCAGAATTAAATCCAGTCACAGTCCATGTCCTCAGCTTTTATTCATCAAACTTGGTCACAGACCAGGCTGGCCACTAACCTCCTTTTGTCCCTGTGGGTGACAGCAAGGCCCCCCCTCTGAGTTACTGGCACAATCCTGCCATTCTAGGACTGACTTTCAGAGATGCAAATTCCCATCTCCTCAGCATACCAACAAGTTGGGTCCAGCTGGGTTTTGGCACCTGCTAAAACCTTTACTTTGTTTGCCCGTGTAACAGCAAATTACTGGGACAGCAGAACCATATTCATCACTCCTCTACCAAAAATTTGGAGTATTTCACAGGGAATGAAAGCAGTGTCCAGATGTTATCTATGGCTCAGTCTTGTTCTGCAAGGGATGTAACCTTCCTCAATCTCCATCTTTGCCAAGTCTGGTTGTGACAGTGAAGTGTGTAGAGCCCTGCAGTGATGAAACCAGAGCAGCAAAGGCTTCTGTGCTCCAGCAGCTGTGTCTTTATTCAAGCAGGTGAGTCCAGGTGTAGTTGGAGGTGCAGTGGCAAGTAGAGTTGCACTCACCTAATCTTTTGGGCTGCATATGCTGCTTCTCTGCAGGTATGTGGAGGAGTGGAAGGCCTGGGTGGAGCCTTTTTGGGATTCCTGCCATTTTAGGAGCCTACTGATATGTGAATCATCATCTGGGAGTGCCTTTCCTCTAGGATGTACAGATTACACTTCTGTCTCAGGTGCACCTGGGAAAAATCCAAGTCAGTATCTGCATTCCTGGCAGCACACCAACTGCTCCCTAGCATTTCTCCTTTTGGCCAGTCTCATTATTTCTTTGGGATTCAGATTCCCTTTAGATTTACAGGTAGGCATAAATATTACCACGCTGGCTGGACAGAAAGAGGGGACTCGTCCCTTTTGAGGCCTCATCATGTCTAAAGGAGTTTAATAGATTTGACACTTTTGTGCTCCTCATCTTGACAGCCTCTTTTGATTTACCCCTATGCAATCAAGCAAAAACATACACACAAGTAAAACTAGGCACTTAACAAGAGTTAAATAAAATAATGCATACAGCTCCCTCATTTTCCACATTAGTACAGATACTTGTCATTTGTTTTGTTCATTTGAATGGGTTTATGATATGACCCCCGGAAGCTTTTCCATCTGGGAAATGAAGTTTCCAAATTTGCACATTCACAAATGGCAGCAAAATCCCATCACTTAAAACCGCTAATTAAGCAGTGAGCAAACAAACATTACTTACAAGCTCTTTGCACAACACAAATAATATTTTAGGCATCCATTATTTGCCAAAACAAGCTTCTTTGGCAGACATTTGTGGGTTTTTTGCTTTTTTTTTTTAATTTTTTTGTTTGTTTCGTTGTTTTTTTTTCCTAAATATGAAGGTTTTTTTGCTTTCATCAAATAAGTGAGCTGTGATGTTTGAGAATCTATTTCCAGTTAGCCTTTCTCTTCTTACTTTGGTCTTTGAGGTCTCCAGCTGAATAAGGTGCTTTGAAACTGCAGACTCTCCACTGCACTCTAGAGGTCCTCTACTTAAACACTATGGTACTCCAGAGCAATTCCTCCTCTTTATGGCACAATCTTCTAAGGAGGCAATCTTAGAATCTTATGGCACAATCTTCTTTATGGCAATCTTCTTCTAAGGAGGGGGTGGCATTCTGTCAGGTTGAGTTCTAATATCCAGCTGCAGAGCAAATGTTCTGTTTCTTTTGAACTGGTCTACAGACAAATATAAGGTGCACTGTAGCCACCTGGAGGTACATGTAAAATGTGATTTTCTGTTCTTCAACAGGAAGATTTTAAATGAAAAGGTAAAAATATTAAAACAAATCCCCTGTTTTATTGTCATTAATTTGGGCCTAGTCCAATCCTCATTCAAATTAATGGAGAGACTGTGACATTTTGAATGGCAGTTAAATCAGATTACAATGCTATCTGCCTGACCTGTCTTTCCAGTGATGGTTGAAGGCACAATTTGGGATGGCTTTGCTCATGACACCGCTGCTTAGAGCAGAGCAGTATCTGTGTTTGAGAGATCACATGGGTCTAGTGGTGAAAATAAACAGGTACTCACAGGTGAAATATGTATGTTTCAATCAACTCTGCCAAGTTCTGCTGTCAGATACTGCTTCGTTTTTATCTTCTGCAGTGACTTTATGTCTTAGGTTGGAAATGGGTGTGTGTATTCTATTCCTATCTGATGGGGCAGTTATCTTCTGTTAATTGGGCAGTTTTCTTTATATCTTCCACAACCCATCCTCCCTCTGGGGAAATATCTTCTGTTAATGGGCCATCGAGTGTCACTGCATGGCTGATAAAATTACATCGTCCCATTGGGAGAAGCTCTGCCCAGAGGGAAGAACCAAGCATTCCTAACTGGATATAATCTGAGATTTGGAAGACCACAGGCAGCCTTTTCCATTGGATTCTCAGACGAGCAGCCCTTTCCCTCTGGATTCCAAGGAAGACCAGGCCCATCTACACCACCACTAGACCTTCAGAGGAAAACTCCACCCTTCTACAGGATACCTGCTTCAACAGAACCACAGCTGGCACTGCAGGAGGGCTGCAGCCACCATTTAATGGGACTGCTGCCAACAGGGTGTCAGGTCGTATTCTGACTCTGTCAGTGTTGTTTTGTATTACTGCATTGTTTATTTTATTTTCTTTTCTTCCCTCTTCCCTAATAAAAAAAAACTGTTATTCCTGCTCCCATATCTTTGCCTGAGAACCCCCTAAATTTCAAAATTATAACAATTCAGAGGGAGAGTTTACATTTTGCATTTTAGAGGAGGCTCCTGCCTTCCTTAGCAGACACCTGTCTTTTCAAACC